GCGCTCAATATCGTTTGACATAAAATAACATTTACCCAAATATAGAAAGCATTCCGCTCGATAGGATTGTATTCTTGTAGCCTTTAAAGTCCATGTAAGCGATGAGGAATAGTTAGATATTTTAAAATAGAGTTTACCCAACAAAAAGAAACGAGAAAATGAATCTGAATCTTCAGAATGCTCAATCAATTCAATTGCTTCAACTGGCTCGCTTTTTTGAAAATTTAATATATTCTTTTAGTTTTTTATAAATATTATTATACATAGATAAATGTATATATGCATGTAGATAATTTTACTCACAGTAAGTACTCCGTTTTCGCTATATCACTTAATTTTAGCCTTTTCAGTGCATCGAAGTCTTTCAGTGAAAAATAACACCTAAAGAGTAAAAACTATAATTTTTATATTTATATATTATTATATAATATTTATTATATATTATATATATATATATATAATATATTTATATATATTTATATAATATTAAGATAATTTATATAAGTACCTGGCTAGTGCTTCAACAACGTCTATAGATTGCTCCAAAGTTTGCAAAAGTTTAATGGCACTCTTGTTCAGTTCTCTATCCGCAGTGTGTGATGCACATATAGCATACATTTTGTCATTATGGATGTCATGCCACAAATTCATTGCTATTTCAAATGCTCCTAAAACCATATTGGTGATTGCAAGTAGATCTATAGCAACTATATTATCTGGAACCAAAGTTCTTACTTTGTTTAGCAAATCACGACAAGGCACATATTGTTGCTGATTATAAAATATAATTGATTTTACCAAGAGTCCTAAACTTGATTTTTCGTTCAGTTGGACTAGTTTTTCACTGTAATGCTCAACTGGATATTCAAGTTCATTTTGCCAATCTTTGAACACATCATCTTTGTAGTACTCTGAATATATCTTACAAATCCATTCGTACGCATACTCATCTTCTGCATTCTGTTGCACTATTAGACTGGCATGTTTTAGGCAATTTTTATAATCTTGAAGTTTATACAGCAATTTTATATACTTTTTATACGTTCTAAGGTAAAGCTTATGTACATGTATTTCACTATGTTTCTCCTGATCTTTGTAATATTCAATCAAAAGTTCAAAAGTACTTTTAAGCTGAAATTAAAATTTAAAATACACATATGAAGAATCTATATTAACTATCGAGCGTTAATTTCTTCTACCGATTGGTCGTCCACATCCGATATTCTCACTCCGCTAACGCACATACCACACAGACTTTTCATTACAACATTTTTTCGATTATCATTAATATTGGTCTCTGCTTGCTGCTTCATAAGTTCAAAGAAATCCAAGAAAACTTGTGGATTTTGTGAATGAATGGATATTCTTTCAATACTTTCACAGTAATATTTATCCTCACTGAAATGAGTATAAATGATTTAGAATGTTCTTTTAAATTAATAATTCAATATTAAAATTTAAAACATTATTAATTTGTGTCTAAAATAAAACAAAACAGTAAAGTAATATTGAATGGAACCTGAAACTCCAACTTGAACCTCTGGAAATAAAAGATAAACTATCCTGTAGAAATTTACGTTTGGAAATAACGTGCTGAATACGCAGAAAGACGTCTGTTGCTAATGTATGTGCTCTACACATCGTGTCGTCGCTTCTCTTTTCTCATGTCCACATAAATTTAAGCTTTTTGAGTTTATAGATGAGTACAACCAAGGTGACAAAATTCCTTTATCTAAACCCACGTTTAGTTTAACATTTCTACTTTTTTCACATATACAACCACAACATCATCATTTATTGTTATAAAACGTACAGATAGCTTTATTAGCAAGTATCGAACTACTGAACCTATTCACAGGGAAAAGCACTATACCATTGTTTTATTCGCACAATACCAACAAATATATCCAAATTCTAAATGCTCCCATAAACTATACATTCCATAACATAGAAGTAATCAGCATATATTTAATTATTTACCTCTCTAATGGCAGTAGTTGTTTATACACATCCGGTAGCTCCTCTGTGGACACACAACCAATTAAGCCCCGTAAAACTGATATTGGTGATCCTTTACATAGTTCTAACGCATCTCGTAAATGCTTTGCAGCCTAAATAAAACAACATTTTTTTATATATTATTATATTTTCCGATTTATTGATATAAAATACATACTCACCTCAATCTTATTGTTATTATTTGTATAAGCGGCACCTATTAACATATGACATTGGTAGCTGTTTGGATGTTCCTTTAGATATATCTAAGTAGGATCAATATAAAATTTAATAATATTTGCAAAATAGCGTAAAGAAAACGTTATGGGATATTCTTACATTGCATTTCTCGATTGCTTCCGTTAATTTTTTTTCTTTAATCAGTCCGTGAATTGTTACTAAATCCTTTTTTCTATCAGAATCACTCATATTTAAAAATGTATATTTAATGTAATTGTTTTAGCAAAAAAAATACATAAAAATTTATTACTAATTTACTTTATTACTTATAATTTATTTATAATAAACAAAATATCCAAACAATATTTTTCTGTAATTATATTTGAGTTGTAAATCATATGTTTTTCATTTGTTTCACATTTGTATACATTTGTATTATTTCAAATGTAGATGGCGCTAGGCATTTTTTGTTGTGGTAAATATCGTATATTAATATAATAATACGGTCTCATATATGGCAAACATATAAGACTTCAACATTTATTTTGTAAATTAAAAACATGCCGTTTGAGAAAGTGTTATAAAAGTTAACCTATCAGACTCGATCTCAGTGTGATTTCCATCGTTTCAAAAAGATAATTTTGTAATACGTCTAGAATATGCGTTAAAGAACTTTTATTGATAATGGCTGACAACCTACATTTTTGTCCTTCTTAAGTAGGAGGACCAGCGAATGATTACCTGTGCAGATTATTGACTGTAGAACGTATATGAAAATAATTCCACTCACCTCTTGCTTGTTCTATCTACCTTTCCCCTACTACAACTCTTTCTACTACACTACAAAATTTGTAAGTATTATATGTACTTAATTATATTATTAATATAATAGGTTGGAAAAGAATATATACAGGGTACTAGCTCCCGTCGGATCAGAATCCTGTCCCCATAGCTGATTTTTCGTTATGTTAAACTGAACAGAAGACATTTCTCCCTTCGAATAAAGGCCAAAATGTCAGCTATTGTTCCAGATATTCTAATGGGTTACTGAAACTATCCAGTTTTTTTTTACTATTTCTTTCACTTAATTATTTCACATTTTAAGTGCTATTACACTTTAAGGGCACTTTTTTATTGCTTCGTTTTTTTATATCTATGAGACTTTAATGTTATCAATTGGAAACGAGCTGTTGCGTCAACAAAGACATCTTGAAAACGTAGTCATACCTGAAGATTAATCGATCCTACAGTCGCTTTTAAAACATTTTCAAATAAGTGATTTGTTTTTAAAAATACATTATGTTTAAGGTTTCGAAAACTGAAGCCCCCTTTATCTTATACTGAGTTCGTATTCAATAAAAAATGTGCATGGTTTCTCTTTACTACTTATATTCAGTTAATATGATTATTTGTGATATTGTCTAGTGATGCAGATGAAGCTCTAAGATTAATTAAAATCCCACCCATTCTCAAACTATTCTTACTTCTAAACAATCTCCCCTTCTCTCACACTGCTATTATCTATAATAGTCAGTAATAGGTAATGCTTTTCATGTTTTCTTCTCTCCTCTCGCACTTCTATTGCCTATTCAGTAATAAGTAATGTCTTTCATGTTTTCTGCCGTAATAATCTCTGCGGACTACAACAACAACATGTCGTTAAATAGCCTTATAAGGATTGATTTCAACGACAGTTTTGATAATAGCGTTGTTTCTGCGATAGGGCGTGAACTCGTGCAAAATGTATCATGCTCTCTTCGAAGCTGAAGTAGTACAATCTTCTAATGTATAGTATCAATAACACACAACTTCACTTTCAATACTTTTCCTCTAAGTTTTTGTTGTGCTATATAAGTATCTTCTCTATGATTTATATTTGGGAGCTTGCCTCGTCGTGTAAGATTCTTGTTTTCCGTAACGAGCAACCAAATCAGCTGTAATTTTAGACTTCTAATTCCAGTTTTTATAACTGGTTAGTTTGGCTGCGTCCACAATTCTACTGATATGTTCTGGTCAAAATATTTATAAAATCTATATCCCACTAAATCAATTTAATGAATTTCAAATTCTCATAATTAGTTTATAGTATTATCGTAGTTATGAAATACTATTGGGCGTCTACATTGACTAGACTTTTGATATATTAAATTTCTATATTAAAATCACTTATTATTAAATTCTTTCAATTAAATTTTTAATATAATTAAAAAAATTAGATAAAGTTTCGAGCCATTATTTTTTATCAAAACTAAATCAAATCGAATTTATACAATTTTTTACATTTTTATTTAAAATCACTGTTTCTAGTGCTTTGGAATAATTGTAGTGCATTTAGTAGGGATTGGATTATAAGCACTTGAAACGGCATTAAGATTCTAACAGATCGATACACAAATCATAATTTAATTTTATTCATGGTTAATGTGGTAAATGTTGGTGGATGTTCATCCTAAATGAATGAAATGCCATTTATCAACTGAAAGAATATAAAAGTAAATATTTTAATTATTTTTTTTAAATATTTCAAAATTTATTTTATATACATATAAATAAAATTGTTAAAAAGCAAAATTTTTACAATTGTGTGCTGTGTTAAGGAAATAATATTTTAGCCAATTGTGTGTTTGTGAGAAAGTATTATAACAAACTAATAGACAATATTTTACAATATAGGATTGTGTGTGTATTTAATTTAAAAAAAGTTTTAAGCTATAGCAAGACAAAGCAAAAGATGTTTTAAAGCAAATTATCAAACTACAAATGATGCTTAACATAAACTATCTTACCTGTATCACTAACGTCTTGTACATCACCACCTTCTGGTGCTTCAGCTAGTATTTTGTCAGCATCCTCTTGATTAATGAGATATGGTGAATTTTTAACAGTTGTAGTAGCACTATATATACACGATAAAGATTAATATATATTATTTTATATAAAATATATCACAGTTTAGTATTACCATGAAATACTGCCAGCATTCAAAGATTGATCCACTAATCCTTTCCAGAAGTTATGAGTCTCAGAAACTACTTTAATGGCGAATTGCGCATCTTTTGGGTCACCATTGAAAGCAAATTGATTTTCTGGTTTACCATCAGGAATTTTATAAATCTATAATAAAATCAAAATTAGATTATTTATAGATGCTGTATTTTAAAAGTCGGATATGTTTTAATAATATATGTTCCTTTTGTGCTTCAAATATCATTCGAGCTTTTCAATAATATTTAATTGTTCGAACATTTGGCGAATCACTATTGAACTGTTGAAGTATCGCAGATTATTTCCAGAATTTTCAAGTATATGAGAAGCACACGATCCAAATGTTGATATTTGTGTATACTTAAACTGCTCAAAAGTTTTGAAACATACATATCAACATACTTATGTATGCTCAATATATTCACAACGCACAAATTTAAAATTTGCTCGACCAAATGTCATTATAAACTATTAGAATGTAGTTACCTTGAACCATTCGACTGTTGCACGCAACAAGCCTGGACAATGCTTATATATATCACATATATCATTTAATTTTTCAGCTAATGGATCTCTAATGTCGATAGCTATAATCTTCCAATCAGTTTCGCCTTCATCAATAAGTGCAACAGTGCCAAGTATTTTAACCTGTACGACTTCTCCACGTTGGGCAACACGATAACCAATTTCTAAAACATCAATTGGATCATTATCACCTTTGCAGCCGGTAGACAATTCAATATGATCAGGATTTTCCCATGTTTGTGGGAATGCACCATAGTTCCAAATGTAACCCTTATGTGGGAAGCAATTTGCCACATAACGAAGTTTACCCTTTTTGATATCTTGTTTGATGGGGTTCAATGGATTCTTTAAACTAATCTAAATAAATTAAATAATAATTAACATATTTTATGAAAAATGTGAGTTCGATGTGAACATGCAATTTACTAATTGCAATTACTTACCTCCATTTTTGCGTTTGTCCACCGTGGTATCTCTACAACCATATTGTAAATAGTTTTTTCTTCATTGGCATAGAGTGGTATGTCATGTAAAGGCGAAATTGCGTGTCCCTCTTCATTTTCTTTAAAAAAATATAATAACTAATTGTTAATAAATTTTCAATAAGGCACGCACAATTGATATTAGATAAAATGTATAAATAATTATTAATTTATTATTTCATTTCTTATAAAAAATAATTAAGTATTAGCTGTAAATAACGGTTATGATATAAGGTACGGTTTTTAATTTTGCATTTGCAATGCTATAACACCGGAAGTTATCGGACCTATTGAGCTAAGAGTAATAGTTTCCAATCAGTTTACAAATTACTATTTAGCGTGGCCATGAAATGTACATGTATACATATATATAATGGTAGACAGGTGACCGACTATTATAAAACGATATCGATACGTAAAAGTAGAAATACGTACGTAGACGAGGTCACTACTGAAACCTTGAAGTTTATATCTGTATATAAAGAGTATATTAAATTTTCACCCAAATATAACTATGCCAAATTTTTTAGCTGGTGTGGTTCCATAACAAAAATGTTAACAATAAAATGCTCATATAGAAAAACTATTCATTTAATATAAATATTTGCTAAAATTAAACAAATATACTAAAACCTAAAAAACAGGAAGCATTAATGAATTACAAGACAAATAGATAGGGATGCAATGTAGTTAGGGTTATGAGGAATGAGATAGCCAATTGGAGAAGAGTATAAATTTCCAGAGCTAACATTGATGTACGACGTCATGAAGAGTAAAATTGTGAGGATTATGAGAAATGAGGTAGCCAGCCTCGATCAAGGCGTAAGAACCGTGCTACTTCAATTGGTTAGGTCTATAAACTTACAGAGCTAATGTTGATGTACGACGTCATGGGGAGTAAAATTGTAGTTTGGACAGTTAACAAAGACCTGATGTTTAAAATTTCTTATGTACGTTTAATTTATTTTTTAATATTATTATAGTGAAGTGCTAAGGTTTTGCCACTTGAACAGAAATCGTCGAATACATTGAAAATAGGTGTTCAAGCTTTTTTTTTTAAATATCAACTGTGCAAAAAGAAAATATTTCTGTATATGATGACATTAATATAATTTGCATATATTATAAATGCAATTATATTAGCTATAAACCAAAAAAAAAATAAATAACTGGACTAATTTAATAAATAATTAGTTGGATAATTAAGAGCAACAAAATAAAAACTATACTAGGAAGTGATTAATTGTTTTTAATACTTTTATTAAAATACAAGTTAGAATATATCAACTTTGATAAGCAAACGTTTTTTTTACCAACGTTAATTATAAAACGGAATTTCGTGATAAAAAATCATATCAACAAGATAAACGTAACTTTGGTTAAACCGCTTTTGTGTCAATTAATTTCCAGTATAAAATATAAAGCCAAAGCTCACAGCAAACGTCATAGGAAATTATTTAAAACAAATCAAGTAGCATTTCAAGTGGTGCCATAAAGTGCACTTTGCAACACTCATTCATGGGAAAAACTGCTCCCAAGTTCAATGCTGCAGTGAGACAAGCACTTATCACTCACATAGCGTATTGATAATCTCAATTGCATAATTAACAACTGATAAGAAAATTTCGTATTTATGTTACATTTTATTTATATAATTACTTTATTTTTTAGGCCGGCTTCTTGAGTCACAGGTTCATAACCTTGATTTCTCCTTTCACCCAATATACTTACGAAAGTAAATGCTGTAGTTGGTGGAATCCGGTGCTCCTTTCTCGACTGTTGTATAGCTAGACATTTTATTTACTTCTTTTAACAAAATGTCTTTCTTATTCTGAAATTGTTTTGTTGCTGTTGTAAACTGTCTTTTATCGCAATTTACTGTTATTAAAATGTTACTTTTTGTGTTGGAATTTAAAGTGTTAGAACGCCGCAGTAACACGTGTGCACTTCGCGAGAAGCGAAAAAATTTTGTTAATCCGCCAATTGCCGTCATTGTTGCTACTCTTTTGATAGCTTTTGCTAAACAAGTTTGCGAAGTGTTAGTTAACAGAGTTGCATTTTTGTGAAATTGAAAATATTTCTCAAAAGAGTTTAAAAATATTTAATGTAATAAAAATTATTTGTATAATAATAAATTTATTATTTACATTATATAAAATTAAAAATATATTTTAGTATTATGTACTGTATTTTACTGTATTTTTATAAAAATAAAAATGTGTTTTATATTATGTGGTTTTATCTTATACACAAACCATAAAAAATGGTTGCCAACTCTGTATTAATACGGGAAAATAGTTTGTGCCTAATTTATTGCTTTTCTTTGTTTTTATATTAATATTCTATACATAATAAATAATTGAAATAATAAAAATTTAACATTATTATAACAAAACAAATTATAACATTAAATTATTATAAAAAGAAATTTCAAAATTTGTTTGTAATATTAATAAGATATTTAGAAAAGTTTAAAAAAGGACAAATCGCTGCATTGTTTCAGTATTTGATACATAAATTTAAAATTAAACATTGACGCATGAGAATCTAGACTGAAGTCCTACTAGCAATCAATAAAATTGATGTTATTTACGGAGTAGCAATACATTAGATGATTTAAGACATTGTGAAGTTTAATTCTCTTCATATAAAAAATTTAATAGTTTTAATCAATTAATCATAAAGAATAATAGTAGAAGTAACATTTACTTAGGATTCTAATGGATAATAACCAAATATTTACTGAAATGTTACCTATGATTGACGTACAAACGTTATTTGCAATTCACCACTACTACGTAAACTATAGATTAGGTAAAATTGGTAAGTCCCAGAATTATAGCAATAAAATATTCACTTAACAATTATTAGTTTGGTATAAACTTCCCAATTAAGTATTAATAATAAGCATTTATTTATTTTATTTATATTCTATTTTTATTGTCAAATCAAATGATGTGGGTCCAAAATGTATGCTGTGTGAACCTAGTCACATTCAAACCTTAACACTTTGTTGTTGTTATTAATAGAAGCGCTGAGTGGCACTGGAACGTCTGAATATATCAATGAAATACACATGGTTTCAGAATTATTTCCAATGTTCCTAGAATAGTTTTAAAGTCTTCTTATTGCTATTGATCTTTATTTAAAGTTCTATATCATATTACAAAGCAGTTATGTTAACAAATATAGACTGATTTTCTTTTGTCGGAAGAGAGTCGGACAGATATTTTATATTTCAAACACATCTATATATTTGTTAGATAAATTAGTTAAAAATATTTTTAATTTTTGACCCAAAATTCTGCACAAATTTAATGAAACGTTTAAAGTTTAAGAGCAATTAAAATAAATAATTTGATTAATTAAATTTTCCGCACCAACAGCCTCAGTTTTAGTTTAAAAACGCACTGAAATGGATCACAAGATTTTCAGTTTAGGCTAAACTCACTTTACAAAATGTGGACACTTAAACCAATCTGTGTATTGATAATATTTTTTGTGGTAAATAATGATATTTATATAAAAAAAAATTCATAAAATAATAATTATTACTTTTTTCTGTTGTACAGGGTCTTACAGTGTCCATCAAAGTAAGATGCAACCATCCCGAGACTATTCGAGAGGATCACATACATTATTGCTGCAAACATCCTGATGGACATAATGACATTATTGAAATGTGCGCAAACGAAACAAAATTTAAACTACCTTCAAA